TATTAATACTAGTATTTAATTATAGTTGGTCAATAAACTTTAATACACCGTAAGAAAATTTGTAAAATTACATAAATATATAAAAATAACAAATTTATAATGAAAATATATAAAATTATCTACTATAAATTATTTAATATAATAAGACTTAAAAAATTAAAATAAATTCAATTAAATTATTTAAGTATAAGATACATTATTATTAATATGTGAACACGTTTACTTTGAAATTAAGTAAACCAATCCACAAAAGTGAATTGATTTACATTTTGACACGTGAAAGTTAAACAAAATGTTACCTTTAATTAACTCAAAGAATTAGATTGCCCCTTTCATGTCTAACAGTGTGTGTTTTTTTCGTCTTTAGATACTGCGATTAACGATCGTTTCGATGTCTCGCGATGGAGCGCATTGCCATTGGACTGTAAAGGGTCACTTTCCACACGGGATTGCTAATAAATTACATCCGCATCTCCCATTCTCTTCCATCGATCCTCATCTCAAACGTGTATTAACCCACGCTCGTTTCGATGCGAGCATGCTGGCATGATTCACTTCAACCCTGTTGATGCACTTTCGCGGATCAAGTCACTTAAGACGTCGCGCTTCAGCTACTTGCAAAATCGAAAAATGTAACCCGAATGCAATTTTGACATTAAACTCCCCTCCAAAATTGCAAATCACGATGGGCGACAGCTTTGCGGTAAACATCTTTTGTAGCATCTTTCGATGCATCCTTGGAAAATTGGTGCTAAATTTAAGACATTTCACATATCACAAACGATCCACTTTTATATGTCCAAATTTATATGTCAATTTCATACGAGATAAATATATAATATTTTAGAAGAGGTTGTATAAATATTATGTAAAAAAATAAACAAAAAAATGCAATATATATAAAAACATAGTACTGATATAAGTTGTAAATCGTGTGTGTGTGTGTGTGTGTGTGTGTGTGTGTGTAGAAGCATATTTTTCAGTAAAATTAACATTTGTAATATGTTATGTAAATTAACATAGGTATATGTTTAATTTATTTATCTTAGAATTTACATTTTAAAACATGTTGTTTATTCACGCACTTTGTTATTATATTTTGAGACATTAAGAAACATTAAATATTAATTTAACAAAAACTATTCAAATAACATAATTAAATTATGTTAACACACTCGAATATGTTAAAAATTCAACACTAAATTTTAATAATAGGACTTGTGAGCGGACCGTTTCCAACACAAATATCAAAATATTTCTTGCTGTGCGTTTAGCAATAAAAGCGTAACCTTCATCAAAATGTGTCACACAATTATCCAGCAAATATAACATTTATCTCCTTTTCTCTCATTTATTTCTTTCAACTCAAGTAGTAACTGTAATTAGTTATTTCATTATACTTGTCATTAATGTAATTTCTGTAATTTCTGAATAAATTTATAATATCCATACTAGCTTATAAATATCTGTAAGTATTGCTGAATATCATAAATACATATTTCAGATAAGTAAGATAACATATGGCATGACATACATTTGACTTTGCAAGTAACACATGTTACATGCAGGTCGTGCAAGAATAATGTTTATTTTTATACGTGGAACATTGTGATATGCGAACTTTCTTAGATCAAGTACACGCTTGCGCGAGTCGCAATATTCCGTCACGGCTTTAATGCATCGACTTTATTATTCATGTCCTGAATTAATATATCGTTATCAACTTTTCACGTAAACTCAACAGAGAGCTATATCTTCATATTCAGGAAAGAGAAAATCGGTTTTCAGTTTTGCTCGTAAAAATTCTACATTCGCGCAATAATCGCTTTAATTACGCTAATTAAAATACAAATACTAGTTCAAATCCGCTTCGACTAAATAGATGAACTGTAGAATAAGTGCTTCGGTATAAAGCTTATTATCAGTGTTACTAATCTTAGCTTTAAGCAGTTGATATAAATTCGTATAAATTAATTATGACTATACATAACATATTCGTAATTCATATACGTGATTCTCTGCACTCTCTACAACATTTATAAGTAATCAATTCAAAATCAGTATTTTGAGTTAATTACTTCAAATTCAAAAGAGATTAAATATAATTTAAGATTCAAAAGAAAAATCTTAAAAAATATATTCTAAACTTTTCAAATTTCATCAATTTATTAACCATATTAAAATCAAAATCTTCAAATTTAAAATTTACACATTTTGAAATTTTGCAACCTGTTGACAATTTTTTCTTTTAATTATTTTTAAATCTTAATTTTTAATTCTTTAAGATTTAAAAATTTAAAATTCTCTTGATACTGTTTGAAATTTATTAGAAAAAGAAATCACTTATTAAATTAATTATAAGATAATAAGAAGATAAAAGAGAGAAAAGTTATACTTTTTCTCTGTCGAAAATTTAATTTTAATCTACGTTACTATTTGTAACGAGTGAATCAGGATAACATGCACCAGCACGTCATTGACAAGCAAGCTTAACCGAAGTAGCAATTTGTTCGGGGATTAGCATTGTCGCGAGGTAGAGAACACGGACTCGATATCATGTATGGTAATTCAACCGGTAGGGTCCCGACAAATAAATAACGATCCTAAGAGAGGGACTGACATTTTTGTAACCCGCCCGTGGAAATATCCCAATGGATCGTACATGTCCGATCTTGCACATTTATCGATGTCCCCGATAGTCTAAGAACCGGCGCCGAGTCGATCCTTTGTTTGTCAAGAAAGAGCGGCACTTTGTTCGTAAGATTCTACCCGCAATCGACGCGCAAATGGTCGCTCTCCTTTTCTCTCTGACGTTGTAATCGCTGTGAGTTTCTGACGATAAAGAAACCGATGACAAAGCCATTCTAATCTCCGATAATTAAAACAAAAAGGCGGTAGATAAAACAAGACAGTGTTCTTTGAAAAATTAATCCGCTGATATTAAGTCTATTTAGCTCTCCATCAAGATTATTAGAGACTAAATTATATAGCGCATTTAGAATTTTTGTATCATTTTCAATACAAAATATTTCATTTATTATATTTGATTAATATATTTTTATGCACACAAGTAACCTGTATCGGCAAGCATTGGCTTATTTTTCGTAAATATTATAATATAATATTATAATATGATATAATTTCGTAAATATTATAATATAATATTATAATATAATATATTTCATACTTTTTATTATTTTAAATTTTAAATAGGATGAACGAGAACTAAAATAATTAAATCCATAAAAAATCTTTACTCTTATTCTTTAATCTTTATAAAAAACATAAATTAAATTAAAATTTATAAATCATTACTTATAATGCAAACACAAACTTATAAATATCATTGAATTATCAAATTTTATGCGTAAACTTAGCGGAAAATTATATTTTCATTTCTATAGGAAATAGGAAGTAAGTTTACAGTTTTACTCGTCAAATTCTATACTTACAATAATTATTCAAAAATTAAATTATATAATTAAATATTAGTACATATTTTTTTACTTCAAACGTAGCACAATTAAAAAATTTAACCAATAGGAAAATGCCTTTAACGGTCGAGCTGGATCTTAAGTGCTTAATTATAATTATATAATTTCGTGTATTAATATATATAATTTATATATAATATTATACGTATGTAGTCTCTTAAACCGCGCGCTAAACAATTTTTCGGTCTTGAAACGCCACTCTACGCTAAACTACCGCAATAATATCACGAGTTAAATTATCGAGTAATTTAACAATTTTGATGCTTATAGCATTTTGGATCTTAATAATGTTGAACGACATATTAAAATCTATGAATGAAAATCTGTAAATAATTAATTTATATTGTGAAAAATATTATCTCGGCCGAGAGTCAAATCCGGATCTCTTACATTCCGTCCTACCGGTTAAACCACCGAGGTCGGAAGGTCGATAGTTTCATAGAGTGGGGCATTTCAAGACCGAAAAGTTGGTCGGCGCGCGGTCATACGTAATATATAAATTCACACAAAATTATAATTAGCATCTAAGATCCAACTCAACCATTAAAGGAATTTTCTTATTGGTTGTGTTTCTTACATGTACGGTCCTATAAAATTTAATATTTAAAAAAATATTAAAAAATTTAATTTTTTATTTATTATACAGATTTAAAAAAATAAAGATTACTCTATCAATCATAAGATAGATTAACTTCGCAGTCAGCCAAATATTTATGTCTCGTAACGTTTTCAAAGATCGTAATACCTTCTACGAAAGTAACATAGTTTGAGTTATGTCATTTTTATAAATAGAAAAAAAATCTACAAAGAACATTTAGAGTTAAGACAGTTTTGGTAATGGAAGTTCGAAGAAGAAGAAAAATTATTCTTTCTTAAATTTATTCATTTTAGCTGCTCAAGGTTGATAAATATAAAGTCTTGATATCCCATTTTGAGTTTTATGTCACTTTTGATATACGTATTATTCCGGATTTGTTATAATTTTGTTATAAAATATCAAAATCGTCATACAATTAGAAAAAGATTTTTGAGAATTGTGAAATGAAAAATGACATTTGATCAAATATCTAAAAATATACGCTTTTTATCGCGAGCGATAATTATTTAATTAATCAATAATTTTCTATTAAGTTTAAAAATAGCTTTTCTCTTTTCTGAAAAGCTCTAATTTTTGTATCTCTTTTAAGGAGAGAAAATGAAAAAGAACAACATTATTTCTTAAACCTTCAATTTATTTTAAGGGAATGACGAGATTATGGATATAAAAGTCTTGTTATTTGTTCAGATTGTCTTCGGAAATACTTCAGATCGACATGAAGACTTCGCACACACGTGTTATCGATCGTGACTGAAAGTCTTAATCTCAAGGACTCCATCGAGGGTCGTCATGCTGGCCTCGGAGAGCAATTTCACGACTTGGGCCAATAACTGGACAACGCTGCTGCACCAGGTGTCTTGCAACGACACTCTTTTGGGTTGCGTCGAAGAGTGCGACATCGTTTCCGCTGGATTCGATCATCTATGCACAGCGTTCGAGAGAGGAACATTCACCGCTTCTTCGATGACGCTTTTTTGTACACCTTGTGATTATGCGAGTTGTAACGTCAACGTGTCCTTACTCCTGAATGGCCTCGAGAGCATTGAGGGCGTCTTTCTATCTAGGATATCACCAAGGAATTGTAATGCCACATCCATCGAGGAGGAAGTAAGTTTTCTCAGACAGAGAGACAGAGGGGGGATAGGGAGAGGGAAGGAGAGGGAAGAGAGAGAGAGAGAGAGAGAGAGAGAGAGAGAGAGAGAGAGAGAGAGAGAGAGTGTATACAGGCGTCTAAGTATTGAAATTTAGGTTAAAAATTTAAAATATTAAAATTCGCATAGTTCAACTTACAAGAGTTTCAAAATAGAAAGGAAACTCGAGGATAAACTAGCTCAGTGTCTTAAAATTTAATAACTTAAGGAATTAAATATTTAAAAAATTCAACAAGAAAAGATAGAATAATTTCAAAAATCGCATTTCTTTAATTTAAATACATTCTTTTAGAACAAACATCAAAAATAATTAAAACGAGAACTATAAAAATGTAAAAAAAAAATTTTAATAAGTTACAAAAGTTTTAAAATATATAAAAATTTGAAGTTATAGAATTTATAAAATACATTAAATTAACAAATAAAATTGTTAAATAAAATATTTTATTGTAAACTGTAGTGTAAAAAATCTACAAAATCCAAAAAATTTTAAATAGCCTTTTTATTTAAGATTCCTATTTTGAAGCTCAAATTATATCTATTTGTTTGTAAACAATTATTTGCTTGAAGCAGTAAAAAGTTGTTCGATTTTTGTCCAAGAGTAACGTGTAAAGATCTTCATTTTGAAGACGAAGAACGACATTTCAAATCCGAGAAGACATTTAAAAATTGTCGCTTTTTATTTTGACATCTTGGAAATTTCAACCATCCGTCTCAGACGTAACAGACAATAAATAATCTGGTGTTTCAGATTTTGGAATGTTCGTCCATCGGGAGTATCGCAGAGGATCTGGTCATGTCTTGCTCGCACCGATCCAGGATCAATACGGGAATAAAGACACGTCGATTTGATTGGAGCTTTTTATTCGTGGCAGTGTTCATAGTCGCCGGGGGATTGGGAAATATACTGGTTTGTCTAGCAGTGGGCCTGGACAAGAAACTCCACAATGTGACGAACTACTTCCTACTATCGCTAGCTGTGGCTGATCTCCTTGTCAGCCTTTTCGTAATGCCTCTGGGTGCCATACCTGGTTTTCTGGGTGAGTTATGAAAAGACCTAAAATTTCACAATTCGATTCGCCAGTCACGACTTCCGTTTTTGCTTGGAACAGCAATTCACAAATAGCTGAACATTTCGCAATGTCTCTTTCTCTCAATTCATGTGGGACCCAGTTTCCAAACTTCTGGATCATTCTCATTGCTTTTAAACGTTTGCTAACGGTTGACACATCGACATTTAATATTTCCAAACGACTTTTTGAGCGTCTGACATGAATCTTCTTGACGTAATGCCTCTAATTTTCCATCTTCAAAATTTTTTGGCTGACCAAGGCGCTCTTTCTCATTCACGTTGTTGCTTTAAATCTTTTAAACTATTAAAATCAACAGAAAGTGTAAAGCCATTCGAGTCTTGAAAACTGGATGTTAATGTTTATTTTATAATGTGAATTTTATATACTGTGTATGTAGTCCCCCCCCGCGACGCTGATAGGAAGCCGGGACGAAACGCCAACTCGTGATATTCTTCACAATCTCAGCTTCTCTGAGTTTAAATTATTAATTTAATATTAAATTTTAATATATGTCTTTCAACATATTATTAAGATCTAATATGATGCTATAGGCATCAAAAATTGGTTAAATTGATTCTCAATTTAACTAAGTGATATTACTGTGGTAGTGAATATGCGTCAAGGCTGAAAATCTATCAGCGTCGCGGGGGGGGACTACATACACAGTATATAAAATTCACATTATAAAATAAACATTAACATCCAGTTTTCAAGACTCGAATGGCTTTACACTTTCTGTTGATTTTAATAAATCATACGAGTCAATCATAATTTATCTTTCATATTTATATCGCGCGGCCTGAAAAATGCGCTTTAATAATATTAAGAACAATGTGAAGAATATCACTTCGTCGACTAGCCAACAGAGGTCTATAGTTACTCATGCCATTTCTCGCAAGTGCTTGATTACATGTGTAATTGTTTATATAGAACTTCTTTCTAACATCTTTCCAGGCGTCTAAGGTAGGCTCCCACTACATTACCTTACTGATGAGTCCAGTAGTGGAAGCCGGGACGAAACGCCAACTCGTGATATTCTTCACAATCTCAGCTTCTCTGAGTTTAAATTATTAATTTAATATTAAATTTTAATATATGTCTTTCAACATATTATTAAGATCTAATATGATGCTATAGGCATCAAAAATTGGTTAAATTGATTCTCAATTTAACTAAGTGATATTACTGTGGTAGTGAATATGCGTCAAGGCTGAAAATCTATCAGCGTCGCGGGGGGGGACTACATACACAGTATATAAAATTCACATTATAAAATAAACATTAACATCCAGTTTTCAAGACTCGAATGGCTTTACACTTTCTGTTGATTTTAATAAATCATACGAGTCAATCATAATTTATCTTTCTTTTAAACTAATCTCTGCAAGTTGTTTCAAATAGAACATGCTCCCCATAGGTCTCCACTAACAAACGATAACTTTTAGCAGCAGATTTCTTGAGGTCAAAACAGAAAAATAACGCTTCCCGCAAATGCTCTTTTTTTGGTACGAAACTCGACAGTTTTAATGCAATAAAAAATTGTGTTCTTTGCATCTAATCAAATGTTATATACTGATTATTAAAGCCTATTGATAGTACTTTCATATATATGAGCAGTCACTTTCGGCCATGTTGAAACTGCACAAATACTGACCTCTCCTGGTCAACAGCGAGAATTAATTCAAGCACCTAATATATTAATTAAAAACGAAAGATATATAACAAAAACTTTTTACAAATATGTTGTGTTGTAATCTTAGAGATTTTGTGGGCAAATATTATAACAAGGAACAAAAAAAATTATTTTATTAAATGTTATTCATAATTTTTAAAATGTTATTTTTGAAATCGACGAGAATAAGCCGCAGCGGTCTAAGCTGAATCATGGGTGCTTCTATATAATTGCGTGTAAAATATACTACGCATGTAAATCTTTGATTGCGCGCCGAAATTGTTTTGGATTTGAAACATAACACTAATAAATTATCTCAATAATATCACAAGTTAAATTGACTAACAATTTAATGATTTTTGATGTTGTTTATATCGATCTTGATAATGTTAACTGAAAATATTTTATATACAACATCCTGATGCGACATATAATCCAAAATGTCTTTTCCCCGAGTGATATATCTTTGTAAATTATTAGGAACGCTATTTTTTTATTAATGCTCCTCGCAATCGGAAAGAATGATTCAGAGACGTTCTTAATGTAAGGTATCGTAAAAAATCTGTCATTAGAATTCCTTGTATTATTATTGTGGTTACGAAAACCGCTTTTATTGGTGATATGGTAATTAATTCTGTGTTATAGTGGAAAATATAAAATTCAAAGGGTAACAATTTTTTAGTAAGACTTAATCACTTCAATGAAAATTTTTTGCTGGAACATAGTTTGTGATAAGAGAATGGTTCTGTCCACCATACCATATATAACACCTTTCGTATGGCAAATCGGATGATGAGAATGGAAACTCAAAAGTCTTTCCGAACATGTAGGTTTTTTGTATCTGTCCATTATAATAATGTTGTTATGAATTATAATAGTAACATCTAAAAAATTCAGTCTATCACCATCACTTATCTCCATTGTAAAATGTAATCTTTCATTAAATGAATTGAAAATCTTTAAAATTTTATCTAAATATATTCATCAGGTGCGGTCAACAAAATATCATCCACATATCTAAAATAAAATTATAGTTGGCAATGTAACATTTTAATAGTCCTTTCTTCGAGATCTTCCAATACTATATATTGGAACTATACGAGATAACAGGTGATCCTATAGAAGAAATATTTGCTTGTAAATTTTTTTGTTAAAAATGAAATAAGTAGATTCAAGGACCAGTTTTATAGTCCTGAGGAATTCTTTCTTAGGTAAGTTAGTATTATTGGAAATAAAATGACATCTATTTTCAATTATTTTTTAATTCCAGTATGGCACGTTTTTTTTTATAAATGATAACTTAGTCGATTGAATTTATAGCATAAATTAAAAAAATCTTTTTTGAAAACAACAGAAAAACTAAATTTTTCAGAAAATTGTAAGTTTTATTTAAAAAATAGAAAAAAATGTGTCTGCAACTTTCGTGAAGTTCAATGTATACATTTTTTTTAGACGTGTATTATTATAAAAATACGATGTCTTTTTTAATTATTTTCTATAATTTTTTATGAGTTATGTGGCATAGAATGAGAAAAGAGACTTTTTTAAAGAATATTTAGGGTAAAAAGGAATATCTGCTGCTTTTCCGCTGAGTCTCACGAATAATGGGTGCACAATGGAACAGTGCATATTAGAGGAGTGCCGCGCCGTAACGGAATTTTAAAAGGACCTGCGTAGCGACGCATGCGATCGGATTACGCTCGTAACACAATCCGAAGCTTAAGACACCGTGGTATAGTAGAACAATGTAGAAACGAAAGACGACGCGCGCGAAAAGTCCGTTTATGCGCTCCCTCCCCCCTCTCTCTCTCTCTCTCTCTCTCTCTTTCACTCTCTCTCTTTCTGTTTTGATTTCGCGTCCTCTACCGTAAAGTTTCCTAGCAATCGCATAAATTATCCGGTGATTAATATTAATTAAATTTAAAACTGCAATACAAAACTCTTAATTATTAATTTTTAAGTAGCATTATAGATTAGAGTTGGATTGTTAACTTGCACATGTATTTGTGTCCATATATATGTGTACACAAATATCAAGGATCAAGTTGTGCCCATTGAGATATTTGTTCAGAATAAAGAGAATTACAACATATCCAAAAATGAACCAAATCCGTAAAAAGACATTTTCCTATAAGAATCTTGCGGGATCCTTCAGTATAAAATTTTAAGATTTGATACATCTTCATATTTAATTGTGTAACTTCATAAAATATCGGCAAAACCGTTTCTTAAATAACTATTCTGAAAAGTACAGATTTCAAGCTTTAAAATGTTTTTTAAACATCTCGATACGATGATTTCTGATGAAGTTATTCTATCTTGAAGTTTGTCTATTTTTGCAGGGTGGAACAGATGATGTTTTCATTTTATTGAGTAGTGTATATATATATATTATATATATATGTATATATATATACACATATATATTACATACATATATGTGTGTATCAACTTACGTCATCGATTAATTAAATACAGTTACAGTATCGTTCAAAAGAGTTTCAATAAATAACAAAATTTTTAGAATAAACAGAAAAGTAGAAAAATTGTTTTCACATTTTACATTAAATATTCATTAAATCAAATTATTTTGTATAATACATTTTTCTAAAGTTTAAAATATAATATGTGTACTCTCAGAGAGAGAGAGAGAGAGAGAGAGAGAGAGAGAGAGAGAGAGAGAGAGAAGAGAACTTGTAAGTCAATAAGAATTTGCCAATGTTTGCACGTTAATCAGAGTGTTATTTGACCACTAGCATTGTAGTACTTATTTTTACAGAGTCTGTAATTGTTTCCCCCACTCTCCTTTACATAATCAATAATTGTAGAATAGAGTATGTACCTTTCTAATTTTGATTAAATATTTCTTCACTAGTGTAGTTTTTTTAATTTTCTTATTTTTTTCCTTGTTCCTTTATATAGAAACAAAATTAAAATACAATACATCAACATTTCTTTGTTCAAATATAAAAAGCGTCAACACCTAATAGATAAATGTATTTATCTATTGTTGATGCTTAACAAACAATTAGTTCGTTCTTTACAAAAAGAAACATTTGTTAACATTTTTTAGCAGTACTGTTGCTCAGAATTTCATCAGTCAAGAATAGACTATTGGTTTCAAAATGATTTTTAACAGGTTAGTTTATAATATAATACAAATGACATCTTTTGTCCTGCGAACAATCGGTTAGCTCGCCCTCCTCGCCTTTGGTATTGTCAAGGAACGACTTCATCCGCGAGTTTTCGCGTCACGTGCTTCTGCTCCATTCTTCACGCGAAACGCGCCGACAAC